GTCAACCTTTGACCTTGACCTTTCGAGGTTAACATATATATCATTCGATGCGGATTGACGAGAGGATCACGATGATGCCCTTAGTTTGTTCTTATCTTGACTAATTCGAAAGTTATTCGAGAAAAACTCTCTCCATATTTAGCGCCGCCATTTTGACTTTTTCGACCCCTGTGACGTCATCTTTGACCTGACCTGAAAATGACCTTAGTAAAAATTGTAGATCTTGACCGTGCGTATCCGATGCCGTTTACCGCTTGTCGCTATCTTGCTTCGTTCTCGAGATCTCAGGGGGGGCGGTCATCCGCCCCCCCCCCCCGTCGGTACTAAGTTGGCGCAGACCCCCGTCGGTGCGCGGGATATGAATCCATTGTGGGGTCGCCCTTTCCAATAAGTGTCACGTAACAGCAATGGGACCCGGGACTCTATATGAGCCGCCGGTTCTGAACGCCCCAGGACTCTCTGCTTTTGAAGTGCCAGCGGGCCGCGTAGCTCAGCTGCTGCGCCAGCTCAGCCCACACAAGGCGTGTGGACCGGACGGACTAAGTGCTAGGATTATGCGTGAATGTGCGGATGAGCTTGCGGTCCCTCTTGAGATCATATGTAAACTGTCAGTGAGATCCGGAGTGTTTCCGACGACGTGGAAGCGGGCTAATGTGATTCCAGTATTCAAAAAGGGTTCCAAAAAACTCCCAGAAAACTACCGACCAGTCTCACTTTTGGCAATCAGTTCTAAAATCTTGGAAAAAGTTGTGTGTGAGGGCTTACTTCGTGCATGTCTGCCCGCTCTTCAAGACTCCCAACATGGGTTTCTTCCAAAACGTTCTTGCGTGACAAATCTGGCATGTTTTATGGATCACTGTTGGGTCTCACTGACAAAGGGCATGCAAACCGATACGATCTACACCGATTACTCTTCCGCTTTTACAAGTGTTAGTCATAGGCTGCTTTTACACAAGCTTAGGCACTCTTTTAATATCACCGGTCTTGCATATAGCTGGATTGATTCTTACCTCAGCCACCGCTATCAGCGAGTCATTCTGGATGGCAAGCACTCGGACTGGATCCCAGTGCAATCTGGAGTTCCGGAAGGCAGCATTCTCGGTCCGATTCTCTTCACATGCTATGTAGCTGACCTTCCGTCTCAACTTCAGAACAGCTCACTGTCATATGCTGATGATGTCAAAATTTTCCACAGAATTCAATGTCCAGCGGACGTCAACTCTCTTCAGGCTGATCTAAGCCGTCTTAGTGACTGGTCAAAAACATGGCATCTTAGGCTCAATCCGGCTAAATGCAAGACCATCACCTTTACTTTACGTACATCTCCCATCGCATCATCATACTTTTTAGATGGTCACGAACTCGAGCGGTGTACGGAGATCAGAGATCTGGGTGTGATCCTGGACTCCAGGCTAACATTTGGCGCGCATGTTGACGCCTGTGTGAGCAAGGCCAACCGCATGCTAGGTCTACTTATGCGCAGCATGCAGGTCTCACACCGTACCCGGCTGCCGTACTTCGATCACCGGGCAGTCATGGCGGCGTACAATGCCCATGTCAGATCGGTTGTGGAATACGCGAGTGTCGTCTGGAGTGGCGCAGCACCTACTCACCTTGCGAGATTGGAGAGACTGCAACACCGTTACCTGATGTGGTTAGGCGCCAAGACACATAGCCGGTGCTCGATGGACTATGAGTCTCTCCTCCAACATTTTCACTGTATGTCCATCAAAGCTAGACTTGTTCAGACCGACCTGAAGTTCATACGCTCTGTGTTTGCCGGCCGACTGGACTGTGGGCTACTTGTGACTATGTTTTCGCTGCGTGTTCCTGGCCGGCGCTCTAGGCAGACGGGCTTGTTCAACGTACCTTTTGGACGGGTTGATACGGTGAAGAACGGCCTCGGCGTACGAGTCCCGAAACTAGTGAATGAGTTCCTGAACAAATATCCAGACGAGGATTTCTTTCAGCCTAGTCCCCACTGCACCGCGCGCATCCGTGCCTACGCACGAGGCCTTGGTACTTGTATGACGTAGTCACGCAGGCTGCTATTGTTTGCATTACTTTTATCTTTTGCATTTTTTACAGATCATGTGTCATTTTATTGTTCCTTTTTTATTGTATCTCAGTGTTTTGGCCTTTTGCCACTTTTATACGAGCTATTGCTGTCTTAAAGTGTCCCGCGGCTTTTTGTCCGTGGTGGGTATAGGCATATGCATGTGCGTAGGCAGGTGTGATGAAATAGTGTGTGTCTTGTGTGTGTGCGTGGGTGCGTGTGTGTGTTTATATTTTACTTTGACCTCAGCCGTCATTGGGTTTTGCCTGTGGCTGACAATGCCTAATAAACAATAAACAATAAACAATGAACTGGACCCGGGTGCTCGCCAAGAAGACCAATGTCTCCATCCTATCATCCTTCCGGCTCTGAAATGGTCTTGTCAGACCGAAAGGGCATAACCCAACAAAACAAACTAATTTCGCTATCTGGCTGTGTGGTGTAGTGGTTAGCGCACTAACCTCGCGTTCAAATGACACGGGGTTCGAACTTCGAATCCCATCGCCGGCTGATGCTTTTGGCGTGTTGTCCCAGTAAACATGCCGACGTCGGCGACTGGGGCTCGAATCCCGCCGCCGGTTGATATTTTTGGCGCGTTGTCCCAATAAACATGCCGACGTCGGCCCCGTCGGTCCAACGACAAACGATCTCGTCAACCTCGGCAAACGACCTCGGCCCGACGTTGGCTCGACGTCGGCTGGACTTCGGCTGGACGTCGGAACATGCGGGCAGGGGGTGTCGAAGTCTAGTAGGAAAATCTGGCAAATTCCCTGCGTGACGTCACGTCGGGGATGACCGACGGCACCTTGCACTGATTCCACTGAAAGATACGGCAGAACGGCTATTTTTGAAAAATGATTAAAAATACTTTTGTGCTGTTATGACGCATAAAACGCTTATCAGCATGTTCCTCATCATGTGATAAAGGCATATCCGTGGTCGAAAATAGCTGAGCCCCTCCCAATTTCCAACCACCGACCTCATAAGCAAAGGATGTAAGCTATTTAGGGCCTTGCATGCGGGCATACCCGACGTCCGGCCGATGTCGGGCCGAGGTTGAACCGACGTCGGGCCGACACGTCGGCATGTTTACTGGGAAGGTTAGGTCAATTTCTCGACCTCCCCATTAGGGGAAGACGGGGAACACCGCCCACCCCGATATCAGAAACATGAAAAGGTCTAGGGCGACAGCTAACTGTCTTTTGACGGCGTCTGACGTCAACAGAAGTGCAAGTACGGGCAGTACACTACATTGTTTTACGTGATTTGCGAGAAATTCCGAATTTTACGTTGCGTGAATACGTTTTATACTTTTTCTAGCATAAGTAGCAGAAGAAAGCTTGTGATATTTGACAGACCATAGTACTAAAATAGCATTTTTTTGCCACAATTAGCCTGCGCCCCGCTGGGGGGGGGGGGGGCAGAATCTGCCCCTCACCCGTTTTTCGCCAATAACTTCTAAATGCGTTACTCCAGCGACGTCAAACTTTCAGTACCTTATCATACCTCAATTTAACACGTTTTCTGAAAATTTCAGCGAATCCGTCGGGAAATTTTGAGTAAATGACGTATGAGTGACGTCATTGCCCACCATTTTCGCCTCAAAAATGGCAAAACTTCAAACGCCGCTTAACATCTTCATTTTTAAAGGAATCAAGACGTAACAAAAATTTTATACGTGATGCTACTTTGTCTCTCAAATGGCTATGTCGTTTTATTTTATTTTTAATTTTGGCCCAATTTTTTTTTAACTAACCTTTTTTTGAAAATAATTTTAAATCCTAGATTTTAAGTGTAACAAAAAAAAACGGAATATATGTCAGAGAAGTGGTCTATGTGCCCCTACATACCAAATTTTAGAAAAATCGGTTCAAAAGTGTGGGAGTTATTCAAAATTTTATGACGTCACGACACACAAATTTTTTTAAAACATTTTTTGGAAGTTCTAAACCTGGCACGGGAACGAAAATAGCACCATTCGATTTGCCGTGAAAAACTGCATCAGATAGACACCATATATTTTTAGGTCTTAAAATCAGATTCAAAATTTGACCTCACTTGACCTGACCTTGACCTGACCTCGACCTGAAATTCATCCAGATGTGGTCCATATCACTTATCAGAGTGTGCCTTTTGAATTCTATGAATAAAGTGACCCATAAAACATGTGTCGCACATGCCCTTTTCTATATTTCGTTTTTGGTGACCTGACCTGACCTTGACCTTAACCTTTTCATGATATTGTATGCGACGAATATTGACTTGGTAGCCTAAGAACACGTTTTGAGCAATCAGTCTCAGTCCATTCTTCGGCAACTACGGTGCAAGCCGATACTGTAGAAACTTGCATTTTGTGCCCTTGACCTGACCTTGACCTGACCTCTGACCTACTTAAGCAAAAAAAATTGGGCTAATAAGATCCGCCTTGTTCAGAGCTTTCGATTGTCGTTTTTCCCGTCTTTCTACGACCATCGGTTCGGAAGTTAGACAGGGGGCAGAATCTGCCCCCCCCCCCAGCAGGGCGCGTATGGCTGAATAGCCCAGCGGTGCGCAGGTTAAAAATATACTGCTCTGTGCCTCAACATACGTCTTTTTGTTATTCTACACTAGAGCAATGAACAGTAATATCAAGAACTCCAGTATTTTAAAACGAACATTTCAACATCGACTGTCTGGCCTTGCTTCCTCTCTGAAACGTGTACCACACGTCCAGGGACCAGGGTATGCACCTATACATGGACGGTCGGTCGGAGGCAGGTCGATATTTGCCGGCTGTTTGCCGCCCCTCGTCCTGACTACAGTCCGACCTGCTCTCTGTTCGACTCGGGGTCTCTTTCAGTCGCGCTGCGGAGGGGCGCGACGTCAGACGTGGCTCCTCTCCTACCGTGCTCTGCTCTGTGAGCCGCCATGTCCCCGCTGCCGCTCCTGGCGCTGCTCATTACAGTCGCGGCTGGCGTGGGTGTGGTCTACCAGTCGAACCTGGCACTGCACGCACAGACGGTGCTGAAGACGGTCGGCGACGTCCCCGGCCGCACACACTGCGCGCTGTGGTGTCGCCGCATCAGCAGCTGCGTGAGCTGGAGCTATGACTCGGCTACCCTCCTTTGTCGCCTGTGGCCCAGTCCGTCCGCCAGTAACCCACTCACACTAGTACAGGAGCAGGTCTATCAGCGCAAACCACCGCCGGGTTTCGTCCTCAGCGACAATCCAAATATCGCCTACACTCAGCACAGCTTCGGCGGTATCACTGGCGGAATAAGCTCCCTCACGGCTCTGTGTCAGGAGGACCATCCCGGCGCGTTCCCTGCCTTCACAAGCACCGACCAGCAGATCACCTACATCAAGCAGAACGCCATCGGCAAGTACTTTTACGTGGGAATCTACAGGGACTCCAGCGGCGTGTTCAGAGATATGACGACCAACACCGCCATGACCATGTCGGCCGCCTGGTTTTGGGATGGAAGGCTGGACACCGACATCACCAACAACTGTCTGACGCTGTACTACAGGGGCTTCTGGGCCGTCCCCTGCACAGACGTGCGGGAGGGCTACACCTGCCAGTACAACGTCGTCGCCGGCACCGCTCCGCCGAGTGGGTACGTCATCAGCGACGATCCCAGCATCGCCTACCGGCAGCACAAGGCGGACCGAGTCAACGACCGCGACTCGTTCGTCAGCCTCTGCCGGGAGCACGACCCGGACTCTGTGCCGGCGTTCCCCAGCACCGAACAGCAGGTCACCTACATCAAACGGAACGTCATCGGAGAGTACTTCTACGTCGGCATCTACCGGGACTCCGGCGGCGTCTTCAGGGACATGACGACCGACGTGGCGCTGCAAATCCCGGCGGAGTGGTTCTGGAACGGCGTCGCCGACGCGGACCTCACCGATGACTGTCTGACGCTCTACAAGGAGGGCTTCTGGGCTGTACCCTGCAGCGGCTCACGTGAGGGCTACGTCTGCCAGCTCAACCTGTAAACCAGCGCGCTGGGAATCGTCTTGTGATGCTGGCGACTCAACAGCAGGAGACAGAATGTCACTGTGACCTTACACGTTGCATGGTTTAATATTCTTTGTCTGTGTCATTCCGTTTCATGAATTGTCTTACCTTCGCATATTCTCACCCCTGTCGATTATACAGTATAGCAATATACCCATTTGGCTCAACAAACGCATTATAAGCAAATATGCGATCATCTGACAGATGCCAGGTAAAAAATCGATTGATAGGTATCAGGACCAAGCGGCTATCTATATCAATTATTGCTCGCAGACAGCATCCACCTTGCAGCGCCTGGTTCCGGAGCACCTTTATTTGCTTATTCAATTATTTATCTACTGTATGAATATTTGTAAAAAGAAAAATGAATACGTGAATATATTTATTTACTTATTTATTCATCCCAGCACTTACAAGTAGAGAGGCTGAAGCTTGTTTTCTTGTTCCAGCAATCCCCTCGCGTGGACTCATCAGTGGCCATGCATGCCTCTTATACGAATAATCGGAGGACACGTGATGGCTGACCTGACCTGACCCGGCCTGAGCTACCGCAGATGTAATGATGTACAAATAGGTATGCAACGGTGAAAAACAAAGGCGGAGTTCAAAATCGCAGTCCCATCCCAACATTCATCAAAACTTTACTTCAAGCAGGTCTTGCAGGTTTATAGGTATTTCCTGAAAATTTGGGTCATTTATCACTGAATTGACCTGAAAAGTCAGCTTATAATTAGGACCTTTTGGGATGGCATCGGTTTCGTCTTGTCAAGAGCACACTGCCACGTTGTTTTTTCAGGGAGCCCTTAGCTCCATCAAAAGAAGGTGGAGAGGACCGTCTGATCCACTCTTCCTATACCTAAATGTTTGGTACGTTGGCCTCTGTAAAAGGCGAATATACGGGCATGGGCCATAACTTATCATAAGATTTATACTTTTGTATAGGTAAGAAAAACACCAAAATCTTGGCAACAGCGGACACCTCAGGGAATATTAAATGTCCCAAACGGCTTCTCTGTAACTTTCTGTAATATATGTAGAAATTCCTTTATATTGCGTTTTTAATTACTTATGTTGCCTGAAATTATGTCTTTGTTGTTTCAATGCTTAGGTACTGCTTAGAAACGTTGCATGCTCTGTGCTCTGTGTTGTAATTTTGTATGAAATATTCATGCTGTGAAATTGTGACCGTTTGCTTTGAAATGACTGCTGAATCGCTCCATCAGTTAGTAGAGCGCTTAATAGCCATCCACTAAAATCATAGCCATCATGATCAGACAAATGACCAGCTGTGCAGTGTGCACATTGTGCTGTGTGCACGGCGCAAGGTGCAAGTGTCGCAGTTTTCTTAACCCGCGCCCCACTGGGGTCTGCGTATAACACGCCCTACTGGGGGGGGGGGGCTATTCATAGCCCCCCTCCTAACTCCGAAACTACTGGGCCGATCGTCAAAATTCAAACGGCGTCTGATAGCCCCGGAAAAACTGTCGAGCGAAACCTAATTTTATTGACCTCGAGGTCACTGATGACGTCACAGGTCAGGTCAAAGTAAAAATTATTAGCATTTTGGCTTCTTCACGTTTTGGGCTCTGGCCGCCGTCTTACAAGTCAGATCAGGCTCATTTTTGGTTCACACACTCGTGAACAGATGCTCTAGATACTCTGAGGGTACCAAACTTGTACTTTGATTTTCAGGTCAAGGTCAGGTCATCACAGGTCACGAAAATATTATATCATCCGTCGGTCACGTGACACATGTTTTATGGTCCATTTAGGTCAAACATTTCGAATTTGATGTCGTCTGTGTCATGCGAGGTCATTTTGAGTCAAATTTAGCTTAGGTCAGGTCACTTTCAGGTCAAAAAAGGTCAAATTTTGAAGTTAAAATTTTTCAACAAAAAATGTGTCTATTCGATGCAGTTTGAGCTCAGGAACACGATGGTGCTATTTATATTGGCGTACGATGTCAAATTCGTGCTGAAAAATTGATTTGAAAATTAATAATTGTCTATTTTTTGCAATAATGCGTATAACTTGGCCATTTTTGAAGATATTTAGCTAAAACTTGCTAGAGGTAGTCATAATAATGAGTTCTATCACGTATATTCCGGTTTTTCGAAAAGTCAAAAACTTTTTGAAAAAAAAAATGTAAAAATATAAATTTTGAATTTTATTATTTAACATTTTCGAAACTTTCAAAATTTCGAAAATCCGAGATTGCAGTTTGATAGCGCAGTCTATTCTGAGTCCTCTCATGCAAAGAAATTGGATCTAGCTTAAAAACTGAGCTCTTGGGAGCGATTGCCGTGGTTCAATGTTTTGCGTCGAAATCGGCCGAACATGACGTCACTCTGACGTCATTTCCGGCCGACCTATGGTAGGTACGAAGTTCAAATTTTGACACAAGGTGTCAAATTGATGCAGCCGAAGGTACTGAAAGTTTGGCGTCGATACGTCAAGCGGTTTGGAAGTTATTGCAGAAAAACGGGAGGGGGGCTATAAATAGCCCCCCCCCCCCAGTGGGGCGCGGGTTAAAATAATAGAACATACATTATTCGCAATACAAATTATTGAACGAGTATGACGTCCACCGGAGTTGCGGAGCGAAGCAGTGATACTCTGAGTGTGCTGAAGGCAGCACCGGATAATAATCAGCTCCGGGGTGCCGTGGACGTGTCCGTAACTGCCGTACGGTACAGGCTCACTGCAAACACTTGCGTGATGCATGGCCGTCAAACGTTTTACACGGGCATAACGCTACTGCTGCAGCTTAGAGCATAGCTATCACTCCTCGGGAGTTGACATTAATTACATCGGGCTAAAGCGATTGACAGACTGGAGGCACATGACGTCAAATAGTCTAGGGCAATTCAAGGGGTGATTATTTAGAAATATTAAATTTTAATTGTCAAATGGCAGTTGGCACATCTGGCTCCGATTTCCTGTCGTCGGAATCTGTCGGGTGTCTACCGAATGGATTCATAATTATCTGTCATCAGCGCCCGATCACCCGACGAGGCGGCAGGTCACCGTAACTTCCCGGTCTGGGAGCAGCAGTGCCCTCGGGCTGGCCACCATCTCTAGGGCTCCGCCCTGCTCCCGGAGACGCAGTACCCTGCAGCTGCCCCTCCGGTTGAACTGTCTGAGTCACCCCACCTCCTTCGCCTCTCCGCTTTTCGGATTGGTCAGCTCAATAGCGTGGTCCACGGTAATTTCCGATCCCAATCTGCTCTCATGAATTTGGGACTGGGCCCGGAGTCGTTTTTAGCAAAAATGAATGAGTTCACAGACGCAGCCACAGGTGGAAAGTAATTGTGCGAACACACTTTTTTACGAATATCTTTTTTTTGCTCACCTGGAGTTCTATAGCCTTGCCTGATAACACGGATCACATAACGTTAGGTCATGAAGAGAACACATGAAGTTTTATTTGTTAGCCTGAACATATCCTCCCTTGTTCGCGATACACTGGCGCATGCGTTCAGGCATGCTAGACACCAGGTTAGCTGCACCTAACCCCTCTTCCGTATAAGGGGGGGGCGAACGGACCCCCTCGGTTTTTCATGAATAACTCGCGTAAAAAGCGGCCGCACGCAACGGAACGTTTAGTACCCCCGCTTTAATCAATTTTACGCCAATTCTGAAAATTTCATGAGCCTGACCCAAATGACCTTTGACCTGTGACCTACTTTTCGAGACCATGTTTGGCTAGAATCGCGATTCGGCGTATGTTGGCTCGCATTAGACGCGCGTTTGCAGTCTTGTGGTCGGTCTCAAGTGTTAACCTTCCAGGCGGTGGGGGGGAGGAGCATTTTTTTTTGCCCCTCCCCCCTTTGGTTTTTCGATATATCTCCAGCACCGCTGCGCCGATCGTCACCAAACTTTCGGTACCCTCCCTTGAACAGCTATTGCACATTGTGACCAAAAATTTGTCTAAAAGCTCTGATAGGCTGGCCGCTAATGACGACAGAGTGACGTCATTTCTGCCATTTTCGAACCAAAAAAAGGTTTCGCGGGAAGAGCTGTCAGGCCTACAACTTTAGAGATACAGAAAAAAAATATTCGACATAAAAGGTGTACAATTACAAGGGCTACAAAACTGCGATCTCGGATTTTTGATTTTTTTTATTGTGACCCCCAAAAATCAAAAAATATATTTTTGAATATAATAGCCGGAAAATCCAAAAAGTTTTTTTAATTTCGAAAAAAAAAACGGAATATATGTGAAAGTCCCTACCGCTTTCTATCTACATACCAAATTTGAGATCGATACCTCTTTTTTGACCAAGTTATAGCGAAAAAAAACTGTTCAAAATTGATGACGTCAGATTTTCAAACTCAATTTTTAGCAATTTTAGACCTCGTAGCGCAAATCAAAGACCATCATTAGACTCCTCGTGACGAGCTGCATCGAATCAATACCCATTTTATGCAAAACTATCAACTTTGAAACTTGACTTTTTTGACCTGACCTTGACCTGACCTCCACCAGAAAGTGGCCTTAACTGTACCTGATGGTTTTTTAACCAACACCATTGAGTTGGAAATGAAAAATTGGCCATAAAACATGCATCGCACAGCCTTAGTAAAGTTGGGTTTATGTGGTGACCCTTGGTGACCTGACCTGTGAGTTGTGACCTGACCTGGTATGACCAGTGACCTCTAATAGCAACATATGTACTAGATAACTGACGCCCTATCACTGATTTTCGACAAAATACGTTTTCCTCGGTGTTATAGCGCTTTCCCTAGAAGACCCGTGAACGGTGAAGCAGTTTATCTTTGACCTGGCATGTGACGTGATCAGTGACCCCGAGGTCAATGAAATTTGGTTTCCTTCGACAAATTTGACAGGGCTATCGAAGCCGTTTAAATTTTCCGAACCCGTCAAATAGTTTCGGAGATACGGGGGGGGGGGAAATGCCCCTCCCCCATCGCGCGGAAGGTGGCCGGGAGGCCCACCGCCTGCCGAGTTAAAACATGTGATATGATGTTGGTCCCATGCATTAGGGTGGGTGCAAAGGTCACCTGAAGGTCAGTTTAGGTCAGGTCATTTACCTTTGATGACCTCGGCTCAATTTTTTCGAGTTTTGCACGTTTCTAAGCTACTTTTGTAGGTGAATTCGAATTTAGCAGCCATTTGAACAAATACGAAGTAGTTTTGGTGCCTTCGTAACATGTTACGAAGCTGTAAGAGGCGGTTGACACGAACTACGAATACCCGGCAGAACCCCTATTGGTTGACCTGACCTGACCCGACCTGACCTTAACGCAAGATGACATCTGTGATCAAAACTAACATGATATTCGTCATCAGCACCCCGTAAAACCTCATAGCAGCCACACTTTACGACGTTTTAACACGTCCCGATTTTCCCAACCTTTGGGTCATTGACCTGACCTGGAAAGTCAACCAATGGATTAGGACCTTAAAATTGGGTATCATCGGCTTCCTCTCGTCACGGGCAACACGCTCCTTTTTTCCGCGAAGCTCTACCTCGATCAGGGGCAAAACAGCAAGGGGGTTCCAACGGACCCCCTTTATACGTTCGCGGTTGGCAAAACACCAATAGGTACGGGCGGGGGTTAATTAAATATTTATTTTAGTCTGGCTTGGAGTCATGAATCAATGTCGTATTTAGGTAAACATAAACCGACGTTTCAATGCACCTAAGTAAAGGTAAGTTTTACGCATTTAAATACACATGTTTCGTCTTTGCTCTTGCAGGAATCGTTGCGGCAGTGTCCGATTTCTGTCACTCTCCATCTGGCAGGGAGTGGCGAGAAGCGCTGAGATTCTGGCTTCTCATATTCTTGAGGAGAAGTTTCCCGGCGAAGCAAAGATGCGGGAGTGGATGATTTCGCTCGGTCCACTTGATGTCCCCAGCGAACGCCGACCGTAAGGCAGGGAGGCGGGTAGTAGTGGAAATATGAAATACGTCTCCGCTGAAAGACTTTGGGATGTGAAGGGTCAAATATATATGTGCAGAAATGGGGGCCCGAGGAGCGAATGACTGAGCGGTAGGCAGTCATGTTTAATCGACAGCCGAATAAGTTAAACTTATTCGGGAGTAAGGTAACTACCTATTAGTAAATTCCTCTCTCTCTCTCTCTCTCTCTCTCTCTCTCTCTCTCTCTCTCTCTCTCTCTCTCTCTCTCTCTCTCTCTCTCTCTCTCTCTCTCTCTCTCTCTCTCTCTCTCTCTCTCTCTCTCTCTCTCCTCTCCTCTCTCTCTCTCTCTTCTCTCTCTCTCTCTCTTTCTCTCTCTCTCTTTCTCTCTTACTCTGCCTCAGCAGTCTTCCTCCATATTTCCCTGTTTACTGAAGAAACCTACATTTTTTGCCACTTCTTCATATGTTATCAACGATTCCCTCTGCGTATCTGTCTATCTTACCACTACCTTACCACACACTGATTGCGGGCTGGCCACATCCTGCCAATGACGTGGCTATCGCGGCCAGTGTTCGCGATAGCCGCGGAGCGGCGGTATCGGAGCAGCGGCGCCGCGAGCGCCGCACTCAGGATGCGTCCGCCGCGTCGACTGTGCCTGCTGGCCGCCGGGCTGGCGGTCGCTGGCGCCCTGTTCCTGCTGGCACCCGTGACACGTGACAGGGGCAAAACGAGGGTCCGCCGCAAACTGCCCGAAGGTGAGGTCGGGAGGGGAGAGTCCGTTGCGATCATTTATCTCGTACAAGGTGTGCCAATCTCAAGCAAAGTGGATGTAGGACGGTATCTTCAACTGTTCGTCGTGAGTGCCATGGGTGGGGTAGGTAGACGTCTTATGCGTCGTATATTGTTCGCCCATTTACGTTCAGCCGACGTTTTGGTATTATTTTATTCAATGTTATTTCTCTAAGTGTACTACACTCGCCATCCACATGTAGGGATATGATAATGTGTGTTTATAGTGCAATGAATAATGATAGTGCAATGAATTATAGTGAATAATAATGAATAATGAATAAATAATAACCCTCCTGTTAACGTCCACTCTATTTCGACGGAAAGTCACTGCATGAGTTGACCTCATAAATTGTGAAGTGTCCTCACTTGTTATTTAGTATCATACGGTAAGTCGTTCCGTTTTTCTCACTACCACTTAGTAAGGTTAGGCTGTCGTAAAAGCAGGTTCGTGGGGAGTGCACCGTCTATCGCACGCCGTTTGTGCACGTGTCACGGTCGTGTCGGTCTCAGCGACACCCGGTGTGTCTCACCGCCGCTGTGAGAAAAGATAGGTACATACGTTAGACTGCGTCATGAAATCTGTCAGGCCGTCTGTCTAATGTTGAAGTCAAATGTGGAATAAACGATAGCTCCAAACTACAGTCATTTGTTTAACATGTTTAGCGATGCAATCGAGAAAAAAGCGTTTGAGCGTCCTTGAACGATTTCATTTGACTTGCAAATGCAAGCTGGAAGTTGTCAGCATATGAATGTGTATTGTGTTCTTAGATTTAGTACACAGAAGGTAACTGTTTCTGTGTGTTATGACTGAGTCGTTATCTGCCCGTTTCAGTTGTCGAATTGGCTGCAACAGAGGCTGAAAATAACACCCGATATGACGTACCTCCAGGGTAAGTACCCATTCGCAACACAACAGAGCCCTTACATTTACCGATAGGTATGTCACTCAGCAGTAAATGACTTATATACAATCATCAACCGATTGTTGTGATAAAGACATCAATGGACTGCCGGCACTCCGTGATTGCGCCCCTTGTCGAAATAGGGCTTAATGTTCTCTTAGACTTTACAGTGAGTAGTATCCGTGTCAGTTGAGGAGCGAGTTCCTTTTTCACCTTTTCAATTCAACATATTTCAGAGCAATATTTGCCCCATTTCTTCAGATTTAGGCAAGGTATTGCCATGGATTAGGTATTAGGCATTCAGGAATACTTCATCCATGGTATTGCGTTTGAAATACGTACGTATACCTTGCCGTCCGTCATTATCCGTAGACGTCATCAACGTCATCAGTCTTTAATTTGTCCGGCTCCGATTAGCCAAGTGCTCTGCTAGGATATCAGTCAATACCGACACTAGCCCACAGCTGCCCACGTATACACAGACAATGTGCGTGGACATTTTGATAGCGTATCGTCCGTCTCGACAATGATAACGGCTCTGCAGATGACGTGAGTCCGACTCAGGGTCACCGTAACGCGCCCAGTCGCCGTGCATTTGATGGACAGAATTACATAGTTAGGAAGTTACGCATATTTATACAGTTCAGTGCATTTACGGAAATATTTATAGAGATAGGTCTGTCTAATAACCCGCGCCCTGCTGGGGGTGCTGGATTTCCACGCCCTGCTGGGGGGGTGTTTGAACACCCCCCTTGTAACTCGGCTCCTGGGCCACGTAGCGATACGCGGAAGGCGGCGTTCGAAAGAGCGTCAAAAATAATGACGAAATCACTTCGGTCAATTTTTTGGTCAGGTCAAAGGTCAGGTCACCAGAGGTCATTGAAGGCAAAATTTCGCCGATTTCCAGGTCGAATGTCGAAAATTTCCAAGAAGCCAACGCATAACTCGGGAACCAATAGAGCTACAGCGCCGCGGAAAAGCGCATTCGATAGCCCTATTAACGCCCTTTCTGAGTAATTCTCTCAGATTTTCGATATCAATGCTATCGGTTGTTTCTGGACAGGATAGACGGCTAGAGTTGGGGTTCGTGTAAGCGTACAGTAGCAACTGCGAGCCTACTGCCCGGGTCCCCGTACCCTTGTAACGTACTTTTACGTCAGCCTCCGTGTGAGCACAATGTGCTCCCGGACCATCCGCAGCTGACTGATCGGCATTGGTGATGGACTGTGCATTGTGCTGCCCCCGCCCCTAACCCATCCGGGCTAACCCGTGACCGGCCCTGCACAACGGCCCTAGCACGCTGCATGCAGGGTCGGTCCGCCGGCCGCTCGGCCGGGGCGCCGGACTGCGCGATGGCGTCCCGCTCGGGCGGTCGGCGTGACAGGGGCGCTGCCCCTGCGAGTGTTTGCCTATGCGTTTTTATATCCATACGCCATTATTAAGCAGGGCAGCGCGGGCGGGGGCAGGCGGCCCGTCTGGAGCGCCGGGGGGGGGGACGGTATCCTACACCTCTCCCCGGCCAGGGAGGTGTCTCTTATTAGCTCTCCCTGGGGCTGAGGCGGCAATGGCCTGAAAGTGTCGTCCCGGCCCGCCCAGACGGGCGGGTATTCTCATTATACGTCATTTTTTTAATAGTGTTCCTGATGCTTTCTCAGTGTGTGAACTTTTTGTGAATAAAACTAGAAAAAAAAATTCTCTCAGATTTGACCTAAGGTCAACGGTTTTGCCTGCAGGGGGCAAAAACTGCAAAAATAGCCGATATTTTCGAAAACAGTTTTTCTGCGATAACTTTTGACCCAAGCCTTGTACGAGCTTACTTTTACCGGCATCGTGTTCCTCTCGTCAAGACGCATCGAATGAACTATAACTTGACCTTGAAAGGTCAACTTGAAAATTTGACCTCAGGTCAAGGTCATGACCTGACCGGAAAGGGTCATGTTGCATATCAGTCGATCCGTATCGTCGAGCTGAACACATCTAAGGCGTTTTCATCGCTCTAGCATGCCTCTATCAAAAGTTATTTGCGAAAAACTGTTAGATATCATTCATGACCTAAGATGACCTCAGGGCATAAACAAGGGTCACGGACACCATTTTCAAGTTCAGTGTGTCTAAACCACTTGTAATTCGGTGTTTGGGAGTGTGTATAATGTCTTTCATCCAAAAGAGGCGCATTTCAATTTTCTCCCATTGACTTATAATGGGGAGGTCGCAAAATTGACCTGACCTTAGGTCATCGATATCAAAATTCTGAGATATATATTTTGTACATGCTATTGCTCTTAGCAATCGCTGAAAGTTTCAAAGCGATCGGTCACTCGGTGTAGCTATGACAGACATTGAAAGTTTTTATGAGGTGAGGTCACTTCAAGTGACCTGGTGACCTGACCTTGAATGACCTTGGTCTGAAATTTTCACAACATGTGTAGAATTGATGTATGATAAGGTGTACCAAAAACGGCGGCGCTCCGCGCCGCCGTTTTTGAGATATTCGCGAAAAACCACAAGGGGGGGGGGTGTTCAAACACCCCCCCCAGCAGGGCGCGGGATAACGTTCACTTGCAGCAATCTTATCGCGGAAGTTAGTCATCTAACGCACCTCCTCCTCTCTCAGAGTTGAGCCGTACCCGTGGCACTACTTTGAGATGTCCAAGGGCCGTAAGATGGTCATTGAGCCGGGAGCTGAGGAGACACGACGCGGACCCCGGCGCGGTCCGGAGCTGGACGAGCTATCCGCCGTGTTCAACATCTCGCTGGCCGAGCTGCAGCAGCGCACCGGCAACGCGAACTACTCGTCCGCGGACACGCTGGGTGGCCGGTACAGACTGCTGCCCGGTGCCGCCGTTCAGTACGAGCTCTACTTCGCGAGCCGTGGTGACTCACGCTCCGGGTTCCACACGGTACGCGTGACACGGCCGCTGCAGCCACTGCGCGTGGAGTACTACGGCCTCGGTGGCCACGAGCTGGTGAACGTGCTGCTGCCCTACTACTCCCGGCTGGAGACGCTGCGCCAGTTCGTGGGGAGGTTCGCCGCGCTCGTGGAGGCCGGGGAGGAGGCCGTGCTGACGGTGATCCGCTACACGGACGGCTTTCCGTCGATGGACGCGGAGCAGCAGAGGAGGGACGCGGAGGGAGCCGCAGAGGTGGTGCGGCAGGCCAACAGTCGACTGGCGGCGCACGGCGCCGCGCCGCGGGTCCGCCTGATCGAGAGGACCGGCACCTTCTCGCGGGGACTGGCACTGATGGAGGGCGCGCGCGCCTGGGACGGGGAGGAAGACGTGCTACTGTTCCTCTGTGACGTAGACATGGTGTTTGGCAGCGAGTTTCTACAGCGGTGCCGGGCCAACACCGCCCCCGCGCGCCAGGCGTACTTCCCGATCGTGTTCAGCACCTACAACCCTGCGATCGTGTACAGTGTGCAGAACAAACCCGTGGTGCCGATTCTCACCAGCTACGAGCAGGGAACAGTCATCAACCAGGAGATGGGCGCGTGGACGACGTTCGGCTTCGGCATGAGCTGTCAGTACCGGTCTGACTTCCAGCGCCTCAGCGGCCAGTTCCTCAACATCACCGGCTGGGGGCTGGAGGACGTGAAACTCTACCAGCGCTTCCAGAAGAGCGACGTGGAAATTGTTCGCATGACTGACCCGGACCTGGTGCATATCTATCACAAGAAGGAGTGCAACAAGCGGGAGGTCGGCAAACGCTTCAACTCGTGCCTGCGTTCCAAAGCCGTAAAGGAGTCTTCGCAACTCGGCTGGGGACTGTGGGTGTACAAAAATGTTGGAGACACCGCAGACGTAGAGAACTTCCTGTTGCAATATTACAGCAACGGTTGACAGTACCTGTTGATGCTAGGAATCAATATAGGTTTTTCCGATGTCTATATCCGGCGGGTGATGTTCACAGGCGGGTGATGACACGCTTTTGGTAGTTTTAGAGAGCCGATACGTCATCACAACAAACAACATTTTTTTGTGCAGTGACGTTACTTCATTTGGCTGAACTAAAGCGGATTAGGAAAGTTTGAGATGATAAAACGTAAAAGCGATGTGCGTCAAGCAATCACCATCTGCATTCCCGTTGGTGAGGTTTCAATGCTTTCGTACCAATATCTGCTTGTCGGAGAAAAAGACCGTTCAGGTCAATTATTTTAACCGCAAGGCTGGGTGTTAAGGTTCCTCGCGGACGTAGGTACGCATGTCACCAACGGGATAGCAGCTATGTTCTAAGCCGCGCTGCCGTCTCTACATAGAAGCTGAGGCGTCACCAATGGCTTATCGGCACGCATGACATGCATCGTGATCTGCGTTAGCAACTTATAGAAAGCTGACGGCTGACAATAGGTGTGTGTCTTAAGCTCCATCGTATCTTATTTATAATACAGTATATCTTGCGAGTCTTTTTTTTTAGGCCTCCCTCCCACGGGCACTTGTGGCCCAATTACAGGAGGGCTCCTCCTCCTCCTGGCCCTTGTTCCCCCACCCCCCAGGCTACGGCTGAAGTGGGAGCCTACCCCACACCTGGTGACACAGCCGGGGACGACGCCCGCGGAACGGGCGGAACCGGGAATCGAACCCGAAACCCGGCACCGCCCGCACCGCGGGTCGACGCCTTAACCGACTGCTCCACCAGGGCCGCCTTGAAATATTATATTGAAATATTATATTGAATATATATTGAAACACCAGTCTTGAAATATTATCTTCGTCTCGCTTTAAGTTTTCCTGTCTTTCTGTCCCGGTTACTCTGCCTCTCTATTTCCCTCCCTTTTAATCAGCTGGTCTGATCAGGATTGTGAAACTCAAGCCATTTATAATACATTCTGACATAAAACCTGCCCGAATCTATACCACCCCTTACCGCCAAAAATCCAGTAACAAAGTATGCTGCTCGTCCACTAACGCCTTTAACCTGAGTAACTCGACGCAAAAACACCCAAGTCATTAGTGAACAGTGTGCATTTGTGACAAACTCAAGCATTCACAGACAGGACGGTCATTCGGCGTTCTCAACAACCTGTTATCAGCGATAGGCTTGCCGCCAGCAGTGGGTTTATACCCCGCAATCTGTACAGGCATTCATACGAGTACGGCAAGACTCACCGAAATAAACATCGGCACATTATAAATATCAGCTCACCGTCCTCATTCTGCTATCGACTAGCATTTATCACAATGACAAAGCCCAGCAAACCGCCTTCCAGTTATACCTATCCGCAGTATTCAACATTGCGATCCCACGATGAAACTGTCGGGATATTTGACTACCTGAATACAGGTAAATTGTACACGGCTTTCAGCCAACAGGGCGCGCTTTGAATGTAACATATGACGACAGTAAGTGATCAAAGTGTCTGACAAACAGACAATAGTCACTCACCAGCCGCCGAACCGATCGGGTCACCCCGTAGAACACAGCAATAGAACGAACAGCGCAATGCATGTCCCATCAGAGAGTAAGCTCGCATCAGATAGCTCACACGTCGTGGTCAGATTCTCACCGAACGACGCGCTCACACATCTCACTTGGAGTCTTAGATGCGGTAGCCGGTAGGTACAACACAATTTGACGGAATTAGACGCGATGAGATGCACATTGCCCGTCAGACGTTTGACTTGTCGACGAATCCACTATGGTCGGTTGAAAAGTCCACAACCGACACTAGTCTGTCATTGCTCTATCTCATGCACAGCTCTGTGGCATATTGTCGGTCTCTGGTCGTATTAGCATACACCTCTAGTGCCTTTCGGCACTCACACTCCTTTCCTACCAAGCCACCTGCAAGTGACAAAGCAGACCTTCCGGCTCCGTGAGCTCTGGACGATGCAGGGAGACGAGCACAAAGCTGCAAGATCGTTGGAAGAGCCTTCTCCCATCAGTGGTCTGCGTCTCCTCGAGATGCCGTCTCAGATCACTTGGTGGCACCGTCTGTCAGACCCTTACACGTCTCGAAATATCACCGTATTACGGCGCTGCGGCTCTCGGGCGCTCGGGAGCTCAGCTGAGACCCACCCAGGTGGCGCAAGACGCGCTCTCGACGACCGCCGTCCAACGAACGCTGCTCGCCTTACTCACGAGTAGGTGGCGCTGCCGGGTCCCGACTGTTCACCGGGCGAGGATGATGCCCACAGCGAAGAAAATCCACCGAGCCAGCTCCTGGCACAGTGTACATTTTGAGTCTGAAATGAATGGGAGGAGGGTTAAAGGTGCATAGGCTTTGGAAAATACGATAGGAAGTCCTCCAGGTCACAACAGCATTTGGATATCACGACGAATAAGCCGATGAATATGTGGGTTTATTATAAGGAACACATCATACCTAGCTCTTGAAGTCCTCTAGGCATTCGAGCGTCTAAAGAAGTTGACGTCGAGCGCAGAGGGTTATCATTTCAATGCAGGTACCACGCCCATCCTGTCGAACCCGGCGTAATCCAGGCTCACGTGTGCATGACCGTATCATGAGCCCCACCACAACTGAATTTGAGCTGGTTAGGCCTGGATTCGGAAATGCAACGATTTTGATCCGTTCTCAAGGAAGGGATACACCTTGTTTTCATCGGGAAAAAATACTGGCTTATTAACAGGATATATTGTATTTCGTGCTTGTATCGCTACATAATTATGCTGGTTTTAGGTTGTCGACCACCGCGAGAAACATGCAGCTTCAGTTTATAGATAAAAACGTTGTGTCCAGGAAGCAAGCGACAGCCTAAGCTGCTGCTGACAGCCGAGAGGCGGGTATACCCATTCAAATTGTAAGGTAAGAATCGTGTTAAGGAATGACAAATTTATTGCGCACTTCCTGATATCGCAGGAAAGAGGCAGCTGCGAGTGATTTACCGTGTACGCTCTTGATATCATCCCGGATGTATGCCAAGCGGAATCAATACTGTAATCAACTCCATGTGAACTCACTACGGGAAAGGTATTGAATATAGGAAAACTATAACGGAAGATGGGCACACCGTGTCCACACCTGCTCCACAGTATCTACTGGTGTCAAATCCCCGGTGTCATCTGATCAGTGGGACCGGGTCAGACCATGGGTGACCCCGCTGGTCCCCACAGGGTCACCCAGCGGGGAGATCTGGGTGACCCTGCCGGTCTAACACGGGTTATCAGATTTAGTCTGCCGGTCTAACACAGGGGTGATCTGATTTAGCCCGTCGGCCCCTCTCAGTGATCAGATTTGGCCCGCAGCTCTCCGACCCGCACTGTTCGATCCCCAGCACTGATCGGCGGTGACAACAGCAGGTCCTCTAATACCAGTTGGTGCCGATTGCCGGGTGACTGGATGGCTGTTGTGTCACCATGTGTCATTGTGTAACTGTGGTACAGACAGATCGTTTGGTGCTATGTATGGGTCTATATTTGAGGCTTCAACAGCTTTTAAGTGTTGGGCTTTTATCTCTGAATATAATTCTTAAACAATTTGTGTTGCGTAATTCAGTAATGAGGTGATGAAATATTACCATAGAGTGTAGACAGTATTTATGATGTATGTAGATACAAAGAGAGTATTCTGAATAAGTGTCTGAACTACGTTGCCGTCGAAGTTTTTCACGCAGGTGACCGTATTTTACGGTAATAACACGCCAGACTGAAACGGTAATGCGTGTAGGGGCGAGAAGCTATAACGATACACGTGCTCTAATCAGGATCAATTTATCATCGCTGATGGCCTATTAGACTCCCACCAGCAGAGTGAAACCAAATACGGACGGGTCAAATAACGCCAGACACAAGGCAAGCGTGGAAGTAAATCCCCGTTATAAAACTTATTTTCATGGGGGCAGCGAGCGTCGGTGGAATTGTGGAGCCATCGATGTCCCACCCATAGACTCGCCCCTGACAAGAGAGTGGGACGAGCCCCTCCTCTCTCGCGCGTTATCGGCTCAGTGAGGCCAAACCGGGGACAGCCTCACTACAAATCACAGTCTACGAGACTCCAAAGCACCGCCGGCGGGTCGTAGAGTGAGACAAAGGCCTCCCCCTTCCGTCGCTCGTCAAGGCGGCGCGCTGAGGGGCTCTGAATAACACTCCCCACTCCTCCGCCGCCCCCGGGGCAGCTCAACGGCCCAATCAGCTCAAGCCGCGGGCCAAACGGTCCCCCGGCGGCCGGCAGAGCGGGGAAATAGCCGTCTCAGCGGATCCACCGGTCACCTTTCACCCCCGGGCCACAGAAGAACCGCTGACAACTGGGCGAGCAGAGGTGGCACAAAAACAGCGCACCAGCCGCGCTGATCGTGGCGCACCGGTGGCATTCGCGGCTCACCGGCGGCGAGTGATGTCGTCGTCGACTAGCCATTAACTAAGCTCGTTAACTAGGATTCGTTAATGGGTCACGGCGTGGGAAAGAGCTGATTCGTGGTGGGAGGGAGGCGGGAGGCGCGCGGGGGTGGACGGTGGGTGGCGGGGCGATGGGAGAGGCGTGTGGGACGCGCGGGGGTGGACGGTGGGTGGCGGGGCGGTGGGAGACCGGAGAAGGGCAAAGGAGCCGTCGGGAACACCTTAGAGAGTGGATTGAGCCGTCTTAGTGAGCTGACTAAGCCGTTTTGAGTGAATCCGAACCGCCTGAGCTAGCCATGTCGTTTTGGATAAAGTATGATTTACCCAAATCAGCCGTCTAAATAAGGTGCCTTGGAGAGATTATTGAACTTCATCGACTAAGGTTCGGGAGTTGATGTAAATCTAAAAGAGTCTGACCCAGCCGCCTGATGGGATTTGACTGACCCATTTTCTTGGCTGTTGATTGAGCAGTGAACAGTCTCATTGACTGAGCACTGAGCAGTCTCGTGAGTTGACTGAACTAGTCCGCGGCAGAGTGTGCCGGGAATGTGCTGCCGGCGAGCAGAGACCGTACGGAGACCGGAGACCGCAGTGTTCCCATGTGAATGGGAACCAGGATCATAACGCGGCCAGACTTTAATTAAAATCTACAGTGCTTGCCGCTTAATGGATGCTCATGGAATGCAGTCAAGCTATTCTTAGCATTTCATTATGTTTATTAATCCAATCATTATTTACAGCTGAATAACATAATCTCATAGGTCGGAACGAGGAAAGAGAATAGAGGCCACCTCTGGCGACCGATATGTATGTGTCCTCAGTGCGCCGGTACATAATTGTGTCGTGTTCCCTCTCTTCCCGTCCCTCCCTCTCCATCTCCCTCTCCTCTTTTGCCCACCTCTGGCGGCCGATGTGTCCTCTGTGCGCCGGGAGAGCTCCAACGGCCGACCCTCGGCGACGCTCAGCTCCCTGCTCCTCCAGTAGAGCGGTCCCAAAGGGTCCTCCAGCTGCGAGACGCACTTCAGCTTCAGATCTCCCGCGCGGAAGTGTCGCGGACGCACGCGGAAGCTGAGTCCGACGGTGACCGTCTGCAGATCGTCGTCGTCGATGCTGGGAGGCCAGAGCTTCAGATGTGTGAAAGACGCCTGTGGGGAGCAGGGAAGAGTGTGAGCGCAGATGAACCGTGCACGCCTGCACGGGGGTAGGGACACGCAGGATCGCCAGTACCTCAAGACAGATGTGGAGATATGGTTAGAGGGGTTCAAACCTCGCACTGTGCAATGTTGATGAAAACGTGACTAATCGCAAATCTAGCAGCTTACGCAGAAACATTTATTAGCGGCTATGTGTTACTCAAAGTGCACAGCGCAATGAAACCAATATAACGTTAGCCTGAAGGCGTCTGCGCGCCCAGACGCCATGCTAGTAAACGCACGTTGGCGGTGCCTTGCAGCTAATCATGTTGCACTTACACACAGCCATAAAAACACACTCGGCACTAACAGTAAGTGGCGCTAATACTCAGGAGCCATTAGCTCGCGTTAAAAACTCGTACAGACGCACTAACAACATTACGAACCATTAGGACACCGCAGACACCGCGCAAATAATTCAACGCAGATAGCCAGAGCAAGACTTCCGCGAAACGGCTATTGCGGTAAAGATTTGGATCCATGGTGACGTACCGGCACTGCGCATACAGATCTTTTATTAAAAGCCTAGCTTCTCAGCCCAGCCCAGAGTCGGGTCTCAGCCTACCTGGACCGTACAGGGCTATGGACCGATCACCGGACCAAACGGAAGGAGACACATCGTAATTCACACTGGACAACATCATCGGGGAGGGCCTCACCCGTTCGTTGTTGATGTACCATGCCAGCTGGGCGGCTGGCTGACTCCTGAACGAGGTGCAGTTGACCGTGACCCGGTCACCGACCTCGTACCGCGGGTTACCACCGGTGATGATCGGACCATCGGACGGGAACACTGCCGGGGAGGTGGGACGTTATATAGCGGGTGGGAAGGGGCTGACCGTGCGACGGAACTGTTAGAATGGAGTTCAGCGCTGCCTAAATAGATATTGAACCGTGCTAAGGCCTGATCCCAAAAGCAGAGTCGTATATAGTGTTTTATCTCCATAGTCACTCACTGGGCTGGCATTGTTATCACAGGCCAAGACTAAACATTAACGTTACTCCTAACTTCTACAGTGAGATTTTCTTCGGGAAGAAAATCTCAATTTCTGAGGGACCTCAGCCATTCTGGATACCGTGAACATTACCCTTTTGTCATTTAGGACCCACAATTCAGATATGTTTTGTCTCGAGATAACCCAGTGCAGATGCAGGCGTCTTGATGTCTATTGTCTAAAGATAGTCGTTCCAGACCCTCTAACTGCCCATGTCTGCGCGACCTGGCCCAGCCTCAGACATCGAGAGGCTGTCACTCAGGACAGCGCGAAACATCACATCCTTCGCCACCCACTCTGCCCTGCGGTCTGTCAGCGATCGGCGAAATAGGTCGCCAATGCCGCGCCGGTAAACCACACTACCGAGTCGCATAAACACGAGGGAAGGGGCGCTAGCGCTCCGCGGGGCAGGTGAATGTCGTGCAACGACAGAAAAAAAAGGTCGGGAACAGCACTACCGGGGTGACCGTGGGGCGAGTGTTTCGCAATAATTGCCAACGAAACACGAGAGTGGCCTCAAAGCTACCTTCATTGGTAATGGGCTGATGAAGTTATTTATGGTTACCAAGTCACAGAAGGTATTATTACGGGCGCGTTTCACCCTTACGGAGGAGTGTCCTTGACATTGGAAAAAATCGGCATTCCTATAACACTTCAATAGCGTCATACGACAAGAATGTCCGAGACAATACCAGTGGCGAAAAGAAAAAATCAAGGACTTAAGTCAGTTTCTACTGTCTTGCAAAGAACGAAATCCGAACTTTTAGACAAGCTCAAGAAGGAAATAGGCAAAAACCAAAGTCGACTCGACTTTCGACAGGTCTAATTGAAGTTGACATGTTTTGAAACAATGTCAGCTCTGTTTCAGACACCCTTATCTATTTTTTTTTTTTAGAATAAGCCCTCCGTATCAACGACGTGCTGGACAGTGGACACGACGCCTGTCACCCTCCTACGCCCGTCCCAATTACAGTGATCGGAGTGATTGCGCCATCCGCAGAACCAAACTGCCCCCTGCACCGAACTACCCCCTACACCTCCCCCCTCCGCCCCACTCACCGACGACTCGCACGTTGCCCTTGCCCTGCTCCGTAGCAAAGGTTGGCTTGTCGAGCGACACCTCGCACACGTATCCTCCTGAATAGCGGAGCGTCGGCGCCGACAGACGCACGTGCGTCGCGTTCGACGAATCCAGCTGAAACGACACACAGCTGTGACGGCAGCCAGCTGGTAGGTGGGGGGGGGGGGGGGTAAACCGGTACAGATCAGCGGTGTTTTTGTGGTGGCGATGGCCGTCTGCGGTGAAGGGTATTTGACGCCACAGAGCACAGGTGTAGGCGCAGAGAGGGCCACGAGGACTGATATCTGCTGACCAAAAACTGAAGTATGTTACCGTGATCGGTTTATAGGATTTTCCCGTAGACCTATTCAATACTGTAGGCATAATTTTATTCACAAAAATACCTAATGAGCACCTACAGGATTTCTTACAAAATTATCAGTTTTACCATAGGGAATGAAACATACCGAAATTCTGAATGTCTCAGCAGCTATAGGTATCGGCAGCTAGTTATATTGCCGACTGCTGCAGCACTATTATTGCGGAAATTTCGATAAAAAGTGCACGGTTGGCCTCTTCTGCGCCGATAAACAAGAGCGACTTAGCTAAAACTAGGTCAACAAAGCTCTTTTTGCAATCACCGCATAACTTCCCATCGGTTCTAAGTAACTTGCATTCTTTTTCAGACGTGCCGTATTTCGGGGACCGGAACACCCTGACCGGACAGTGTCTCCATATCAACAAATCTCCTACAGTCGTTCCCCTTTCACCGGTGCGTCACAATCGCCCCGTCCATCACCCACGGCGCCACAGTCGCCGCGCTCGCCACTTACGTCCACCGTTATGCCGTTCTCTGGAAAGCTCTTCTTCTGCACGGCGTTGGAGGGCTCGTATCTGTAGATCTCCTTTCCGTCCTTGTACCATTTGGTGGCATAGAGCTGTTGACCCCCGAGATCGAACAGGCATGACAGGTAGGTGTCCTCGCCGCGACGAATATGGCGCGGAATGTCCACTTCGTATATGCTCAAGCTGCACGCCGCTGGAAACAGAAGGACGCGTCAAATGTCAGGGAAGGGGTGCAGTCCGGTCCGGAACTCGACTAAGTTACGTTACGACAAACTTGCTGATCTAACCTTTCTAACCTTCATCTGCCGTAATTTGCAGCAGACTTCCATTAGCTCATTCTGATTATGACTAAGGGACCATTTTTTTATTCGGAAGCCCAAATTCGTATGATCACTTCCCGAGCCTGTACAGAGGAGCCACGATAGCTCCAGTTCGTCAGTTCCCACCATTAGTCCACACAATCCAAACACGACCACCGGTATCCGGACCACGAAACCTGCCGTGCCTCTGGCGCGCCACGACACCGCCGCAAACGCGCCACGAGCGCCTCCGGCTGCCGCAGCGCGCCTCAGGTGCGCCGCAGAATGTCGCAGCAGCGCCGGAAAAAGCGGCACCGACCAAACGGTGCGGCCGGGACCGCTGGTCATCCGTAGAGCGTTAACGATCTGTGAGACAGTGCGTGAGAAGCCCATTGGGCAATTGTCGCGACCGGACTTTGCATCAAACTCACACCGGAACAGGCGGACGGTCTCATTACATTGTCAGTGGTTCGGGTTGAAAAAGATTTTCGTTCACCAGACACGCGCTCACTATGCAATTATAATGATGATGTGCTGCCCAGGCGTGCGCCCTGCGGCAGGTGAGGGGGGGGGGGGGGCACCCGGAAAGTTGATTGCAAAAGGGGTGGTGGTTGCCACTGAGCTGTGCCAGTTGGAGGCGGTGGTTAGCTGTTTTCCTGTCTCTAATGTTGTTCGGTCCGATCACCGAAGCATGGACGAACTTCCTAATGCGTATCGTCAGTCGCCAATAGTTCACCCATCCCATCTATTTTCCGCCTGCAGTTCCGTCCAATTAGTAACGTTACATTACGGTCAGCACCAGAGCAGGGCCGTCACGGCGTGGGGCGCCACCTGGCGACGGCAGCGTCACGGTAACGTCACGGTCCGTCACGTCCCCCCTCCCCACACGTCCCGCCGGACCCATCTGTCCCCCGCTCCCAGGGGAGGAGTCGGTAGGGGTGGAGTAGGGAGATAACACGCAAATGGGGCGCACAGCGCACATACGTGTACTGACCGGACCCCTCCCTCTCCCTGGTCCGGTCCGAGCTGCGCTGCCCACCCCTCTGTCCGGGAGGAAGTGGACATTATCAGCCTCCTGCCGGTCCGACCAGCCAGGTGGAGCGGTAGTTGGCGCCAGAATTTGGCGCCACGCTCCGCTGCAGCCAGCCCAGGTAGAGTCTGGTCAGGCTCACTGTGTGTGTGTGTGTGAACACTGGACACATTAGGGAGCTTAATTGTACTTTGCATATTTTGCTGTAAAGGTGTGACAACTGATGTTTTCTGACCTATGTGTGCTGCCTAATATGCGTAACAATGTACATATAGTGTCTAATATGTAGACACTGTACAGTGTACAGTTATATGCGCTATCTGTTGCTTGAAGTGTGTATTGTGCTACTGCGAGCTGCGAAATTCCACTTTTTCTAAGAGCCTGTTTAGCTCTTTATATCCTCATAGACATAATAGGACGCCACGTCGATGTAGTCTCGATTTCTCATAAATCATTACATTATTAAGATATCATCATATCCCACGCAGACCCCTACGCAGTAGGTAGTATCCTCAGAAACCATCACTTATTTGGTAATGAAAGCTAGCTTACGGACTGATTTGACCTTATCTCATAGCACTCTATAACTTTTAAGAAAATGTCGCAAAAATTACCTATTGTTGGACATGCGACCGTTTGAAATAGAGGAGAGACGCTTCCAACAAAAATAGGTTTTCCTTGCTGTTAACTGAGTGCGTTTAAGACTTTCCCACGCTATAAAACCGGTAGTATAATTACGAAAAAGATTATTTTTCCGGATGACGACGCACGCGGGCGCACATTTGTGATGTGGCCATTCGCTGTTCTTTCCTGACTGTGATTACATCAGAAAACCCAAGAAGACAATGGAGTTGGTCTGTTTTTTGGTCCTGTTTTACCTACTGCTCTGGAGGCATTTTTCAGACGCACTCTATACGTGTGCCACTAAATCAAAGTTATCACAATGTGGTAGGCCTATCAATGTACTGAAGACAGCGTGACATCTGACAATCAATCATGTTGCTGTGTGAAATCTGATTAGTTTTGAGCGACGGGCTCAGAGAGCTGACGTGTAGGCCCATTGTCGTTCCGACGGCTAAAGGCAGCGTTATAATAGTGTTTTTACCATCGGCTAACTCTTATCTTGTATCTGATGAATCAGATTACTTTAGCTGATCATTGCATCGACGGCATAGTTGCAATTTGTGTCCGACCAAATTAATTGGAGATTGCAGGACTGTACATACGTGAAAGAAAAGCATTTTTTTCAGTATAAAACACCAGCCAAGTGAAGGATGTTCCAGGGAAGAACTTACTAAAAAATGCCCGCACTGCAAACAACAAAACGTATGACAACATTTTTTGGCCGCCTACCTTTCTGCTTCGTTTCAAGGACGACGATCGCCCAGGGTTGACCTCCAGCCCGTCGGAAATGAATCATTCTGCCCTCATCAAGTCGGCCTCCATTGTAACACGGCGGACCATATGCTAATTCGACTTTTTGTCACGCATCATGTCGAACAGCTGAACTGGATCAGAAACAAGGCCAGCACCGGCCCCGACCGGCCGTGGGAAAAGATAGACGGGGGAGGGCGCAAATCACACGCACACAAACAATGCACGCTTTCCTGTGTAGTAGCCATGCTAGTGTGTAACAGGATCTTCTCCACGGTGACGAAACAATGTAACACGGCTACTGCGATCAAAGATCGACAGCTACGCATATAAGCTCTGTAGACGTTTCCTTTAATAGGCATGTAAATCCCAGCGCTTCCGGGAGTGGTATAAAGCTTTTGTAAGACCTATTTTAAATAGAAAGCTGCAAAACTTAATCTACATCCAACATCCTGCCCATTATCGCGCTAGGTCAGTAGATTATAACGATAGCCATAACCAATATCATATCTATGTCATGTTTATGGTATGTCATATTTATGTCAATTTAGCTCATTCATAATTTTTAGCACTCGTAGCCAACCCACCTTTCGAGCATTTATAATTGAGTCTCCTCGGGCTGTCGGCTGGTTCACACCATTCGTCAGAGAAGTGTCGGCCACCACGGTGCGCCCTATTTTATCACCGCGTCTTGCCGTGTGTGCTAGCCGATCCTATAGCCCGTCCGTCGCCTCACATACGGCACTGGTCAGAACAGACCCAGTTTTCGGCCGCAGACCCACGTGCCGGCCGTCCGCGGCCGGCTGAGATTCTCATGACTCGAGCTGACAGGATGGGGTTGAGTCTAACGGAACCAGGCCAGGGAACTGTATCATGGCATGCACGGTGAGCTTTACATGAAGTATTTGATTATTAATAACCAGCGCTCATAATCTGACGAAGCGTCTAAACAGTTTGGATTCAGTATTGTGTGCGTTTTCCGCCTCTATGGGAACGAGCGATTAGAACAGTTAAAACAAATCGTTTTTAAATAGACTGAACTTGTGCTGAATATGTAACCAGATAAGGTTTTTATAACAGGGCCATCAGCATCATTATGCATTCCCTGCTTTTGCAGGACCCAATGCAAATTTTTACTCGAGGAATACGAAAACATTTGGAGGAATTTACCTCACAATTCGGACTGTCCAGCTTTGACTTCTATTACCCGTTAACCAGTCATAGCTTATCAGTCCTTAATCCATCAGAAAAACTAATCGTCAGTCGTCACAGCCTAACGGGACAACTGTCGTCATCGCGGCGCCCGTAGCGCGAAGACGCTACGTCACGCCCGGGCGTCGCAGTCGCCAGGGTGCACTGCGGGTCAGCCTGCCTTCCAGGCGGCGGGAGACTTCAACGCGCGCCGGAACGGTAAACTGTGGGCGGATGGGAAGACTTCCGCTGCTGGAATTCGGTCCCTGGTCACCGACCGGCGGCGGGCGGGGACGATCATGATTGATGACCTTCGCATACGTCAACAGAGTCCTCTAATGGGCTGGGCCATTAGAGGCCGGGACCTGAGCTGTTGCGCGGTTGACTGCGCTCGCGGAGGATACGCCACGCTTGATCGGACAACCGGACGATAATTGATGATGCGGCACCCCCGTCACCCCCTCCCCTCCCCTCCCTAGGGCCGGGCCAGTGTGGGTGTGACCGTAGGACCGCGCGGACGGCCCGGCTGTGCCGGTGGTCTCTGAATGCCGCGCCCCAGATAGAGTGGGCACGCGTCTTTTCAACACGACAGCAGTGTGTTTTCAGAGCAAATACTCGAAATACAAAAGATGGAGGAGGGCGAATGGTTCCTCACTTCAGCAGTTCGCTGAACTGTTAAGTTCTTTTCAATATTTCATAAAGAACGTTAGGTATTTGAGAGACACGCCCATGGCACTTAGGATGTAATAATCATATTTAGGCGTTTTTTTTTTTTTTTTTTACTCATCGGTACCTGTGTACTTACATCTAGCAAAGAGGCGTCCAGTCTGTACTCTGTAAGGCACTAGAAGAAATATCTCCAAAGGTGGCTTTAATTTTGATTCGAGCCTTCTATACACCCATGCATTCCCATAGGATTTCAACTACACATTCATACGAATGCATTTCATACCCATTAAATATTGCATGTCAACACACTTGAACACTTGAAAAACACTTCAATATTGCATATCTTGCATTTGCATCGCCTCTGAACAGTGTAGCGCCTACTGCAGGGGCGCAAACCAGCAACAGTAGCGGTCAACACGACGATAGGGCCGCAGTTCTACAAAACCTGTCCGTGTCGTGACATTTCCTCCAGATCAGGAGCGACAGACAGACAGGCGCGGCCCCGCCCGCGCGGCCCCGAGACTGGCTGAATGGTGTCCCTAACTTCCACCGCAACAAGTTAGGAGAGGGAGTCGGTCAGTGTTGGCGGATACATCAGAGAAGTTCATTAGTACACGGAAGGCTCGGAAGATCGAAATCGGGAGCGGGGAGGGCGGTCTAATGTATCCGCCATCCTTTTATAGTGTAACTAGATCACCGGCGACAGGAATGTATGGGGCTCCTCCCATGAACCATTTGATTTTGACACTGATAGACGAAACAAGTTTCAGCCACACACAAAAAACGCGACTGTTGATGAAATAATACATCCTTTATCAGATACACTCAGACATTTCAAAATAAACCCATTCATAACATCCTAAAAACACTCAACAGCACAACCGTGCAATCGATTAGTTTGATTGATTTATTATAGTTTTGACTTGAAGTTTAGATTTATGTGCAATTACACGATGACTCGCTTCACGAATAGGACCCCCCAATTCCCAGTGCTCTGGAGCCGCCCCTGGTAAAGTTATGAACTTGAAATTTTCAGGGAATGTGCCCAATTTAGTTTTAGGAAAAGTCAGAAAATTTCAGCATCGTAGCTTCAGCGGTTTCGGAGATATTCCCGAAAAACCTGAGGGGTGGATAAAAACAACCCCCCTGCCACTAATAGGGTTAAGAAATGTAAAAAAGGTATCGTGTAGGCGAAGATCACGATGCTGCACCAGTTTAACGAACAGTGAATGAAAGGTATCATGTGATAACATATACAAAGTTATTGTGCATCCTCTTTTGACACGTTTTTGCTATAATAGGCGGATCCAGGCGTCCAAAAAGGGGGGGTTATTTTTTACCTCCCAACATAGGTGCCCTGACACCGCCTATGCATGACCAATACAATTTTAGTCGTTCTCTCATAAGAAAATTGTAACATAACAAGACCATTGCCACCCTTTTTAGAAACAGTACCAACAAAAACCTTATTTACTATACTTTTTGTGTACCCCCAATCTCAATGATCTGTATCCGCCTATGATTTTTGAAAATGCATATTTTTAGGATCCATGTGAATTCCTGGTTCATTCTCTATCGATCGGCAAAAGTTGCGTTAAGATTGGTTCAGAAACCTGGCCGTGATAAACAGTCTAAAATGTATCTGCAATTTGCCCGTTTTTACCCCCCTCTACCCCCCTATTGACATTTTGTAATTTTATTTTTTTTTAGAAATGTAGATCTGGTTGAGCCAAATCGAATGCCGTTTGAATTTTGAAAATCGGCCGGTTAGATCTCGAGATATCAAGGTTGGGTCGTAAACAGCCCCCCCCCTGCCACTAATATGGGGTAGCCAGGAGCCTGCCACTAATAGGGTTAATCGAGGTGGCATTGTACATAACAGAAACGATTATCATTTCAAGTGGCACAACCTACCTTCTGTGATGAGAAGCAGCGACGCCACTAAATACAGTCCTCTCTCGGCCGGCTCCATGATCACGGTCCAAACCGGAGCACCAGGCACCCCTCTCCGACTCCGCCCCGTCACTACCGACCGACCTCCGCCAGGTCACGGCCCGGTCAGCTGACTGATGACCCCGGGTCAGCGGCCCGCACACTGATTGGTCGACATTGGAGCCACGCACTCCGCTCACACTGCGCCGCCAACCGACAAACAGACCTCGGACTCCGCAAAACGCCGACTGGCCGGCCACCGTCACCACCGTCACCGCTGCCGCCGCGACGCGCCTTGCACAGTGCGCATGCGCGAGGGGCACGCGCGGCGGAACGGAGGGGGGTGTTCTGACCGGTTGAGGGCTACCACCTGTCGAGGGCACGTGCGCTTCCCAGGGGAGCAGGTGGGGCCGAAATGGACCCCGACGGTCCGCCGCCCCGGGAGTGGAGGGGCGTTTCATTACCGGAGGACTTCTGCTGGGGGAGGGGAGGGCGATGGTCGTACGAGTATTGTTGAGGGCGGCCTTGATGTCGGTCAGAGTGTTATTTGGGGGGCTCAGGGTGACACTTTATGAAAGAGTGGATGTCACCAATGAATGGTGATCGAAGCTGAAAAGTGAAATGTGATTAGAGGAAAGAACAGCGCTCGGAGGCTTTGGATATCGGTGATCACAACAAAACCTGTCAAAGGGCAGAGCCGGTCTCAGAAGCCTGGGATTTCGCATTGACACCGCTTTGATGACTTTGAGCTGATATGAATATTGCATGGCTCCGCAATCACGGATCAGAGTAGAGGGAGAATGGAATAAAACCATTTTGCTGCATCAGACATACAATGACGTGTACTGTAACGTCACCGTCCCTTATGCGCAGCAAACCCATTTTGAGCCCCCAGCTCCTCCAAAGCTCCTCCTCCCACAAGCTCCTTTTCCTCAAACCAGTTTTCTACCATCCCTTCATCGATCTGATTTGTCTCCCCGCCCACATCGACCAACGTCCTGTCGCCTCCCCAAATTTGGGCACCCGTATGTGACCAGTTTAGAACGTGGTAGGCGGAATTTTGGGCACTGCTGTGAGCTGTCGGCATGGGTTTGGGCGGTTTGGGCTCTATCCGTTACTCCTCATTTTGAACTCATTTAACCCTATTCCTGGCGGGGGGCCTCAGGAGAATCAACCCCCCTGAGGTTTTTTGGTTATTTCTCCCAAACGCGTTGAGCTAGGAAGCTCAAATTTTCTGACTTTTCCTAAAAGGCTTCTACGCAACATGTCTGAAAATTTTGAGTTGATCTGACCTCAGGTCAGGTCACCAGAGGCGGTTTGGTGACCCTACCTCAGAAAAGTTTGCAATCACGCCAGAGCTAGAGTTTTTGACGGATCAATTTCTTCTCTTCAGGCTTTAGTTAGGGTACCAGTATGTGCAATTTGTATATCTCGGAATTTTGATATCGGTGACCTAAGGTCAGGTCAGTTTCGCGACCTCCCCATTATAAGTCAATGGGGGAAAAATCAACTCCCTGTTTTTACCACTAAAACGGGTCGGAATGGCCCCATATACCATACATGACTTCATATACGATCAACCTTCACTACCTTGAGGTCTGTTTTGCTGTTGGGCAGCTGTGAGGTCATGTGACGTCATCAAAGGTCACCAAAGGTTTTTGGCCAATAACTCCGTACAGGAACAAGATACAGACGCGTGGATGGTCTCATTGTGTTCAGCTCGTCAAGACGCATCGAATGATATACATGATGACCTCGAGGTCACGTGACCTGAGGTCAACCTTTGACCTTGACCTTTCGAGGTCAACATATATATCATTCGATGCGGATTGACGGGAGTATCACGATGATGCCCTTAGTTTGTTCCTATCGTGACTAATTCGAAAGTTATTCGAGAAAAACTCTCTCCATATCTAGCGCCGCCATTTTGACTTTTTCGACCCCTGTGACGTCATCTTTGACCTGACCTGAAAATGACCTTAGTAAAAATTGTAGATCTTGACCGTGCGTATCCGATGCCGTTTACCGCTTGTCGCTATCTTGCTTCGTTCTCGAGATCTCAGGGGGGGCCGAATCGGCCCCCCCCCCGCCAGTTTCTTGTCCCGGCGGAGCCCGCCAGGAATAGGGTTAATTTCGGAATTTGGGCTACAAACACGCGGACTCCCATCACGGACACCCGGATTCAGCACGCATGGACTTCTGCAGTCCTAAAATCTTATAATAATTTCCAGACTCTGGCACTTGGGACTCCGGGACTCCGGAACGATCACCTGTCGCCGGACTCTCCGGATGCTTCGGACGCCAGGTGCTGGAGTCTCGAGCTCCACCATAAGCGACTGCCGTGACCAACTGACGACGTCCGGCGGGTAGATCCACAGTCGACCACCGCGCCCGGATGGTACTGACACGGGCAGCGCCGGAGATAGCGAGATAACGGAGACGGCGACGGAGACGGGGACGGTGATAGTGACGTTGGTGACGGTAATGGTGACGGTAGTGACGTTTTGGTGACGGACATCGTTGTGGTGATGGTGACGGTGATGAAGTTGAAGCAAGGTGACATTGATGATAAATAATGGCTGCCTTTGACTCACACCGGACAGACAAAATGGATGCAGAGTGACTCACAGCGAAAGTTTTATCCTAAAAGTAGGCAGCCACATTGTTGTTGAATCGTTAGGAAGGAAGTGTGGCCATTATATGTTAAACAGACATATCAGCAGTCGCATTGTTCTTCATCTGCCATGTTTTACCCGCTGTCATGTTTTAAAGGAAATAGTTCACTTTTAACATGGGATTTTGAACTGGAATAGCAGTTTCGTAGCTTGAGCTGAGACTAGCACAAATCAGGAGCTTTTACGGCTCAACGATCACCCTAGACGAAGATATTCCATTTCTCGTTCCGAAAAGAGTGCCTTGCAGAGGAATGTGTGCCTTGCACAAGAATGCAGCCACGTCATCATCAGCCAATCAGCATGCTGCTTACAGCTAATGCAGCATGCGTAGGTTTGAACTACGCAATATGATTGGTCAACGCGTAATAAGCTTCCGCGTCAAACATTATTTTACATAGAATATAGTTCGTCCTATATTAAAATATAGAAAATAATTGTTTTTACAAAAAGGTTTTATTTTATTTTCTGATCATTTTGAGCATAAATATCGTAAATCCATAGCAAAATACTAATTTCAGGAAAGTGAACTGTTTCCTTTAATGTCGCATGTGACGCTTGGGTTCCCATGATGTTAGCTCTCTAGCACAGGCTAAAGGTGTTTGACTTTTATGAGAGCTGTGACCAAGAAAAACACAAATAATTAGTTTCCTCTGACAAGTGACAACATGAGTTACACTTAAATGTGGAAGACGGAACGAAAAACGTCAAGTGGAAAACTTGTCTTGAGTGAAGAGCGGAACCTGACGAATGGTTGGGACATGTCAGTTGGAGTGCACTGTGCAGTAACATCAATGTCGCCATAAATGGGTTGATAGGTATTACCATTCACAATTCAAAGCTTTTTGAAAGGCTGCATGCTGGTGCGCTTTGGCAAAGTACATGACTTGCTTTGGATAGAAAAAGGCCAGTCTGCAGAATACTTTGGATACTGGCTACTGCGATAATATTTTGCAGTGGGTGACCGCCACTCACAACCTAATTCGTAACCACAGTCGCCTTCATTTGACCGTGGATCCTTTTATTGATCAGTTGGTATTGCCAGTACAGCTACCCCAATGTAGAACATTGAACGAATCGCCACTGCACTGTTCGCTGCAATCGTTAACCAACCGCTCCTAAATGCTCAGCACTAGCCGAGGAACGCAGGGAAAATCATACGAGGAAAGTACACGAACTTATCATCGTGCTGCCCCCAACATTCAAACCCAAGGTCTCTGAGACATTGTCCGGGTAAAATTGCTCACATTCCTGCAAAGCTGAGTAATTTTTAATGTTAATTTACATTTCAGGGCAGCTTGACAAACGGATAAATGTTCTCATGATCGTGATGTAAACGTGATTGCTCATAACACCGTCCCAAAATGGAAATGAACTCATCCTGAGGATGTTTTTCGGCATGGAATGCAATATAAAACTAATTGCTTTTATAACTGTGTGATATTGCACATAGTCGTTTCCCTGGTAATACAGAGTATTCTCTCATCACAAGAATCCTTTTGTTTCGAGTCTCAAGCCTTAGTCGAGTTGCCGCTAGGGTGACCGGTTTTGCAAAAAGTTTCGAAAAGTTTTGCTCCCCAGGTCTAATCTAACGTATTTGGGGGTGCTGATCACGAATCCGGCGGAAAAAATATAAAATTCGAATTTTTTTTGACCGCCCCGGCTCTTTGAATATTTCCGGTTTTCTCAATTTTTGCATGTTTTTGAATAATATGATGAATGTAATGAAAAAATATTAACAATGTATCGCTAAATGCATGTACCAGTCGATTCGGCATACAGCGGCGTCGAAATCGGCACGCCGCCTGCTTCACCGGCCTCGCAGGAAAGCATAAGGCTCGGAAGGTTTGCGTTAGTTACCCGATTCTCTCCATAGATGGCGCTGGCGTAGCCGCCCGCCGGCCGGTCGTTGCCGTGCCGTTCACAGCCCCGGCGGTCACTTGCGACCGTCGTGGTCGTTATGCTACGTCTATCAAAGCACGACAGAAATGCTCACTTCATTTTTATGTTACTTCAGACACATTTTAGACCTAATGTTGAATTGGATAAATGACTATCGTGCATTGGCGAAATAGTGGAGTGCGCTCGGGAGTCATTTACAATAGCGAGGAACGTAGGTGGATTGATCTGAGTAACACATGACACTGCGTTCACTGTTGATATGAAGTTTATTCACACTATGTAGTCGGGTGACATGAGAACAAAGTGACTAACATACCTTGTGTACGACACATGGATGAAGCTAATGCTACTTTTTTCATTTTGTTTCGGTAGGCCCGTTTGTTCAGAGCGTAGCCGTCCTGTCGGTCTGCGCCTGTTACAGCTGTGACTGATTCGGTGGTCAGCTTTACAGCCCTTTCGGTGGATTGGGTATGGCAGGGGACCCCCGTTTTAAGGGCAGTCTGTAGAAAGTCGCGCAACTCATCCTCGCTCATGTGTCGTACACAAGGGGGCTCAATGTCTCGGCCCTCGTCAACCGCTCGCTGCACGTTAACCAGTTCCATATAGTTGTTCGCTTGAACGTTAATTTCCGGCAGCCGGAAGTGCCGAATGGGCTGCTGCTGTGGCGGTGGGGGTG